CAGTTTTATATATTCAAGGAATTGACTAATAAAGTAAGTCTCAAGTACCAAAAAATCGAGGTACAATATAGTTATTTCACAGTCTTTTTTATTGTTTTTGTTTCATTACATCTAGGATTGGGTAGCATAACATCCTTTCTTGATCTGAAAACCAAGTAAGGACTGCAGTAATATTTTTACTAAGAATCTAGTTCACCTAGGGACTTAGGAGTCTTAAATTCTATTACATTTATTGTGGTTATTATCACTGCTGCACTTAAAACCTTCTGCTTTGATCAGCCACACACTGTATAAACAGAATATATTATAAAGACAGTCCCATTCCTGAAGAATGTAGAACGCAATATGTCACAAGAAGCAGCAAATAATGAAAACCTAAAAAGAAAACCTGGTAAGCAGAAGCTGCCCATTCCACAGTCTTGAGTGACTCACTGAAATGAGTCTGCTAAGCAAAACAGCATCTTGTTTGAACCTTTTCTGTATTAAAAAGAAAAAAAAAAAATTTATTTGTGGAATATAATGGATTTTTTTAATATGCTTAGTCCATAAGGCTATCAGTATTTCAGTAGAAAGACTTGTGTTGGTCTTAAATAGAAATAAAACTTGAATATATGAACTGCATTTGCTGCAGGATGTAACTTCTTTGAAAACACATCAGTGGCTGGAATAGAAATGTTAAAACACTGTGTATGAGTTTAAAGGAAGTGCGGGTAAATTTTCCCACAGAAAGACACCACATGTAAGACATGCGGATTTGCTTTCCAAATTTTACTACTCCTATCATATTCTCTTAAATTTCAGTTATTTCTTGTGTTCTATTTTTTATATGTATTTTCTGTATTTATTTATTAGATTTACATGGCATTTTTCCTGTGAAAAGACTAATATGCTAACATTTAAAACTGTTGAGTTACATTGATAAGGCCTAATTAAAGCTCGTGTTGAATTTTAATTTGATTAACTTGCAAATTTCTCATTTTCTGATCTCCTGTTTATAGCCCTTTCTTCATTCCGGGTTTGGAAAAGGTCAATTATGAATTTTTAAAAGCCAAGAGCGTTTTAAGAATATGTAGAAGAAGACTTCAGCTGATTGAAAGTGACATAAACAAGAAAAAATGTAATGACACTTAAACATGTGTCACACCCCATTAAATGCATAATGTGGGCCTCAGAACCCCTAAAGCCAAATAGGAGTTCAACTTGGAAATGATTATTGGAAGTGTCCATATGATCTTCAAAAGTAATTATTATAGTTTTGTAGGGTTTTCTTTTGTCTTTTTCAGGGGGTTGGGGAAATTTCTGCTTTGTTGATAATATCAAAGCAGATTAGGATCAACCTGTGTAGTGCTTTTTTGCATATCCTCCAAGAGACAAATAGACCATAAACATTATTGAAAGGTACATTCATTGCAATCCACTTCAAATGCATTATATTACATGTCATAGATTATTTTAGTGTTGGGTTATGCAGACAACCTCTTTCTGACTGAGATCGAGACTGGGGAGACACTGGCAATTTTGTCTGCCTTTCTCATAGATGTTGTTATTTTGTTTTTTCTAAAAGTTAAAATTGAATAGGAATTGTCTTTAATCTTCCTGTATTGGTTGATGAATAATCTGTATATCATGGCATCACATATATAGCTTTTTAATTCTTTAAGGTACAAAAAGAGCTATAAGCACCCTGTGAATCTGGATTTGCCTGTCCTAACAGAAATTAAGTTTCCATCGGATTTTCCTTGACATCTTCAACTGAGAGAAACTAGAATACCATTCAGTCCACTGGAAATGTACATTTTCTAACTTTCATTTTATCATTTCTGTCTTCTTCGACTTTTTCTCCAGGCTATCATGGCTCAGCTTCCCCAGGAGGAGAAGGCTAAGATTGCCGAGCAGGTGGAGATATTCCACCAAGAAAAGAGCAAACTGGATGCTGAGGTGGCCAAGTGGGATGACAGTGGTAATGACATCATTGTGCTGGCAAAGCAGATGTGCATGATTATGATGGAAATGACAGACTTTACTAGGTAAGGACAAAACAACCTGTGCTGAGAACTTCCTCAGGCATCCCACACCTTTGCTTTCTGTTGCAATTTATTGCTATTAAGATGTGTTTTGGGGAATGCAAAGCCAGGTAACACTCATCATACATAACAGGGTAGGCTCTACAGTTCTCTACACATAACTGCTCTGGATACTTCTCCAAAAGGGATTAATCACATAAAGTTTTTTTCTCTAGGCTCTACAGTTCTCTACACATAACTGCTCTGGATACTTCTCCAAAAGGGATTAATCACATAAAGTTTTTCTCTTATTTGCATACCTGTTTTGTTTGCAAATCATTTTGAATTTCAGCAGCAAAGATAGTCTGTAACCTTACAGACACTCAGCTGGCATTTCTTTTAGTGTGGGCCTCTCTGAACTTTCAACATTTCAATACAATTTGCGTCAATCAAAAATAATGGCAAAACTATTTATATAAATCTGAATGCTGAACTCCTTAAAAAAAAATCCCAAATGAAATGAAACTGTTTTGATCTAATACCTTATTGGAGCCTGACAGCAATGTTTTTTGGTTTTTTTTTTTGCTTTCATTTCTTCTTTCTATTGATGTCTTGTTCTTCCCTAATTGCAAAGCATCAAAAGGCCATTCATTAGTGATCTCATTTAAACAGAAGAATTATGTTTATATATAGTCATATTGTCTTTCTCACTGGGGAGAAAATGTTACAAGATTCTTTGAATTGCAGATCACCATAATAAATTAACATTTTTTCAGTGATTATTTTTAAAGGGGAGTTCAAAAGTTTAAATGGTACTTACCAAAATGTGATTAGACAAAACTGGACAAAAATCTTCATGTTTTCCTTCAGAATTAAAATAAAACATCCATTTATTCATCTCATTGGGGTGCTCAAAGACATTTCTTAATCTCCAGCTCATCACATGCCCTGTGGCTGGAGGAACCTTCAACCCATTTCAGAGGGAGACAGTCTCTGCATTAATACAGTGTTTGCACATACCTGCTAGAGAGAGAGAGAGAGAGAGATGAATAGATAGATAGAGAGGTAGGTAAATGGATGGATGGATGGATGTGGGGGTGTTTAAATACCATTAATTTGCAAATAGCTCTATTATTTGCACTTCTATAGTTAGTTAATTGGTGATAGGCAACAGCACACATTTTTATCCATTTTAAATTTAATAAGTATTTAGAAAGTTTGCTTACATTAATAGATTGTTACGATACTTTTTTCTAAGTAATTAATCTCTCAGCCTATTTGTTTTTCCCTCAGTTTGTGCTTTTACAACTAATTTTTTTGCAGTAGACTCACCACTCCTGTATAGTAAATAACAGTGTAGAACCTCTTGTAAAAGGTGATATTTTAGATGAATCTTAACTGCTTTCATAGTTGTATTTTCCTTGGGTCACTGATCTTCTGCCCAAAACCAGAGTGAAAAACTGTCCAAACAGAGCCATCATTTCATGGAAGGAAAATATAACATTCTAAAGCAGCAGCCCAGATATGAACAATTTTTTGCAATTTTGGATAATCTCTGATACATTGAACATCAAATTGAAAGTTTTGTAATTACATTTCCTACCATCAAAAGAACAGAACTAATAGGAGAATGAGTGAAAACTAGTCACATTTGAAGTAAATTAAAGAAAAATAAATCAAAGAGCACCGCTGTCTACATCAGATTCAATAAAAGCTTGTTTAATATATTCCATTGAAACAGAACAAAGCCTTTCACACCTTTTTTGGTTGTCTGTAACCTCAGCACTGTTAAAATAGAATAATTTTTCAAATGCAAAGAGTTTGTGACAGTAAGATCTGCTGATGTGATTAATGTAGAAGCATCCGAGGTCACTAGGAAGGATTTTTCCTACAATTTAAGTTCAACAGAAGTGGGATACTTCTTGTATTTCAGTAGCCATTTAAGGTGTCTTAAGCTGCCCTTCTCGATCCAGTATAAGAAAAGAATAAGGAAAATCAATTCACTTCCAACTAAGCCATTCTCAGGAGCAGTAGCAAATATATTATTACAAACAGGATTAAAGTTTTGAGTCTGAAACAAATTTCTGTCTGCAGTGACTTTTTACTATTTGTCTAGATAAATGTTGGTAACTTTAATGACTAAAATCAGAATTTTGTACATCATCATTAAAGCATAGTGAAAAATCTATTGTAAAGCTAATTATAAATGGTTTAAGTGCAACATAATGCTTCACATATCTTCTTTTTCTGACAAAAAATTGACTAAAAAGTTTTCCTAAAATGTGCCATACTTGCTGTAGACATGACGGGCTTAACATTTAGCACTGGCTTGGGAATAAGATGATTTTGAAATAGTTGTGTATTCCAGAAAGAATTTTGGCTTAATGAGCACTTAAAAATGCATCTACTATTAAGTATGGCTCATGTGCTTGAAGGTGCCATCAGATTAAATTGCTAGTGAGGCATTTTGTAGGAGGGAGGAAATATATCAGACCAATTTCTTAATCAAGCTATTCTGTAAAGTAGTTAAAAGGTGAAATTGTAATAAATTAAGGAGCCATTTATGTTACTATTTTAAAATCAAACACTAAACAGGGTCACTAAAACTGTTGCCTTTCATGATTTATTTAGATTGTGCATAATTGTATTGCATTTCACAGAGGTAAAGGCCCCCTGAAGAATACATCAGATGTCATTAATGCAGCCAAGAAGATTGCAGAGGCTGGATCAAGGATGGACAAATTGGCACGGGCTGTAGCTGATCAGGTAATAACAAAAATGAGCAGATATATAATGTGACCTCTATCAATGAGTTGCCTTTTGCAGGAAAAGGTTATCTTTACTTGGCAAAAAATTGCTTGTTGAAAGTCACTGACTGGATATTGATCTACCTACTGAATATAAGTTCCTTCTTATATACCAATCATCTTGGGTTTTGTGGTACAGGAAAGTCATAAACGAGTTTCTTTAAAGCTCAGAATTGTTCCACAGCCTCACTTCTGGACCCAGGCAATTGTATTAGAATTAGACATATATTTGCTGTCATGAAAACAGGAGAGATTTGGATGCTCTTTTACTCTTGCCATGTGCCTGGGTACCCTTATATTCTTTTCAGCTCATTCTTCCAGTAATTTCTCTTTATACAGCACTCATCTTTTTCAAGATTCAATATTACCTGACTCCTTTGCTTCTGCTTTGCACTGTGTTTTCAGCTGTTCCATGTTCTGGGGACTGTGTCCTCAGTCCCAAATTCACGTCACAACTGGAAAGATAAATTTGCTATATTCAGCCCCTTTCTTGCAGATCGGATTATCTATCCATCTGGAGAGCAAAAGGAAGCATCATGTGAAAAATCAAAAGCCAAATTCAAATCTAGTTTCTAGGTAGCTAATTCTAGATTTAGGCAAATTAAATTTAACTGGTTTTTCCCTTGTAAACTTCCTATAGTTTCTTTCCTTTCGGCTCTCATCAGAAGAAATTTTGTTGGAAGCAGAAACTGATATCTTCTTTGCTTCTAGTCTGTCTTTTCAAAATAAGTTTTCTTCAAGTAAGCAATTCATAGTGTGTAACACATCCTGCCAGGGAATATAAGCCAGAGTGGCAAGAAACCTGAAGCTGCCCATTTTCCTGTAACCTCAGAAATTTGGGGTTAGGATTTTTTCAGTATCAGCAATCACTTTTCCTGTAGTTAACCCATTCTAGTCCTTCAAATGTAGCATCTGATCATTTTAGCATAAGAAGAAATCTGTCAGCTGAAATTCCTCGTCTACAATATTTGCAGAGGTGGAATATTTTAAAGAAAGAAATGCAGAGTGACTTGAGAGTGCATTGGCTTGAGTCACATTTTATATTTCAGAAGACTGTAACGTGCACACTTTAATCATAAGGAGTAAAGTTACTGTGAGAATGAAGTATTTGTTTTAATGCTTGTACTTTAATGATATTTTACAGAACTTTGGAGACACTCATGAATTATAAACTTTTTATGGACAGTTGCATTTTTAATTATTGTTCGAATGAGAGAGATCTTACACTTTCATTCACTCCAAGCTATTTATATTTAAAGCCTTGTCAGCTCTTTAGAAGTATTTAAAGTTCATTTCTTTCAGTTCATAGACTTCAAGAGTAGGGTAAATATTTCTGTATTAAATTGTCACCAGCAGGAAGAAGGTCTCTTAAGGATTCATGCCTGAAAGATGTAGCAGCTGAGAAAGAAAGGCTTTATAGCATTGCCATAAGTATAGAGCAGATTAAACCTAACAGCCACGATGAACCTTCAGCTTTGTTTATTGTTAGCTTTAAAGGGAGAAAAAAAAAAAAAAAACAAAGTGACTGTTTTCAGGGTTATAGATAATATAAGCAACTACTTCACTGCATATTTCTTGCCAGCATTAGCTGTTGGGGCTAAAGCAGTCACCTCAAGTCAGAGGTTGTGATGCTGTTGAATTGTGTGTGTTTCATTCCATCAGGTTTTGTTGAAGTACTCTCTTAATATTTTACAAAAATTGAGCATAAACTTTGTAAGGTGCTGAAAAGACCTGCTCAAACTCTTTGTTCCCCAAGCTTTATATTCAAAGAACATTGTCATTCGGACTTGTTGGGTAGCTCCAAAAAGTATTAGAGACATGCGGTTAGCAATAGACCCTTTTAGCAATGTTTCATCAGAGTGAATTACTGAGGTCTGTTCTCTTGAGGCAAGACCTTGAATGTTACTACAGGAGTGTTGTTTATTATGCTGTTGATATTGCAGGAGATGATGCAGTTTCTATTAAGGGTCCAAGAGACTACGAATAAATTTTACTTGGGCCTTTTCTAGTTATATTGATTATAAAGATTTCACTGTCTGCCACATTTGACCTAATGTAACTCATATCAAAACACATTTGAGATGCACAGCATTCAAAATGGCACAGGACTGTAGATAACCTTCCCTCTAGTATGAAAAGGTATTCATTAGACATGCAGAGGGACCAATTCATCTCATTGTGTTCTTCAGAAGGGCTGCAATACTGATGTCATCTGCTGAGAGAATCTGTAATATGTCACGCTTTACTAAATAATGTCTTTCTGGCACAAATTAATGTATTTATGCATTAACAATAAGCTTATCAAATTGTCACTACCAAACCTAAGCAGTCTCACCTCTGCATCTTGAGTCTTTAGCATGTTAGAAATGGTACTAGCTTCTGCTGTGTCCTCTGAAGGTCTGCACAAATACAAGGGAACCTGGCAACATAGTCAGGAGTTGGCATTACATTGGGTGTAACCAGTTAGAACTGGGTTTATGTGGAATTTAACTTAACCTCAACACCCAGAAGCCAGCCTGGAGTTTCACATCAAACTTGTTTTTTCAGCTACTCAACAGTTTCGTCTGTTCTGTACAAACTGATACCATAACTGAATCTTAGCCTCAAACACAGCAATCGTATTATTTTCATTGCCTTTTTCATTGGCTGACAGAGATATTTCTTCTTTTTTGAAAAAAGATATAGTGCATCTTCAGGTTACAATTCATCAATCTTCAGTTAAATGAAAGGTAGAGTTTGAATTTTCACATTTCATCAAGTAGATGAAGTGATATGGATTCAGGTAATACACACACATTGCCACTATCTCCTCTGAGTGCCTCTCTATAATCAAATAAAATCAGCTACATCTATTCAAATGTTTCTTTTGCCTTCAGTGCCCAGACTCAGCCTGCAAACAGGATCTGCTGGCCTACCTGCAGCGCATTGCCCTCTACTGCCACCAACTCAACATCTGCAGCAAAGTGAAGGCAGAAGTTCAGAACCTGGGTGGAGAACTTATTGTATCAGGGGTAAGCTGGTATTTGTATTCAGCCATTTATATATCCCTTGTAGCACTTGAAAAGGAGCATTTTTTATGGCAATAATGTACAAAACAAAAATACAGTGTTTCATAAGCAAATTTTTTAAAATATCGCCATTATTTCAGACCTTACAATAACTTGCATAGAGCAATTTGATTTTCCAATTACCCTTTGTTTATACTAACCTTGTAAAATCTTCATTCTTCCCAAAGAAAAGTAATTTCATAGCCTAGGAAGTCATTGCTGAGCTGTGAATATTATAATCATTTGGAGCTTTTGTATATTTGCTCATTTTAAATCTTCTTTCCTTTGTTAGTACTGGTAATTTCCTTCCTCTGTGCAGAAGCCAGCTCTGTATGAAGTGGATATTGTTAAGATGGTGATGACTAATGGGATTTCATTCACTCAGGTTCCAATGCACACTAGGTTTAGCAAAAACTCTGGAAGGCCAGCAAAATATTTCAAGTTTTGATGCACGTGCTGTTTTCAAATACTATTGGCAAACACAATGATTATACACTCTAATTCCCAGTTATTTCAGTTATTTTCAGTGAATACCACCAAGTTTTTACACACAATCTTTTTTTTTAGAAATAAAGGCAGGAATACGCAGCACCTGTAATATTGTAAACAATGTGTTTCCTATATTCTTGAACTGTTATTTCTTCTGTTCTCCTAATGTTGGACTCTGTGCCTTTGGGAGATTACTAGAACCAAGCAGTAACAATTGCTGCTCTTCATTATTTTCTTGGGGTTTTATAACTAATCACCCTAGTATTAACCCCATGACACCTTTGTTACCTTCTAACTCAAATATAGACCATATGAATGCAAATGTATGTTTCACTCTCCTGAGTGTGTTTTCAAAACAGTGGTGATTTGTGAGGCCCAAGATATTTGAAATAAGATTGTTTGCAGATGTGATTCTGAAAAAGCACCCTTTAATTGTTTAAGCCCAATCAAGTACGAAGATTTTTAGGGCAACTAACTTGTGCCCTTTATTCCATCTATAAGATTCCCCAGTGAAATCACTGGACTTCCTCAAACATATCAGAAGTCAAAGCAAATGTTCTCAACTACATAACATTTCAATTTTTTGCAAAACAATATAGAAGGTCTTGAACATTTGCCAGGCTTTCTTGGATCAAACATCCTGAAGTCATACATACAGTCCTAAAAGGAGTTAATTCAGTGTTCCTGTGTCTGTCCTGAAATTGGTCTTCGCTTCTTGCCTTATGTACGCATGTAATTTTAATACCTTGATCTTCCCACAGCAATGAAAAGATCCTCTTCCATTTCCCTGATATAAATAGAGTTATCTGTCCTTATATCACTGACATCTATGCTGCATAGTAAATGCTATGATCTTTTCTTACCTACTGCCATCTGGGTCTAGCTTTTCATACGCATTGAATTGTCATCTTCATCTATCTATAACAATTACCCAAATCAGTGCTTCTACCAGCTTGGCTTTTGTGGTTGTGTGTGTTTCTTTTTCAAGTCTCTTTATTCAGTGTATGTGGATGCTGAATAAGTCATTGTGAATCTCTAGCATCTATTCGTTACTGGAACATCACCATCCGTTGTGAAATTTAAGTGGCCGAACTGCTTGACTTCATCATTTCCAGTCTGGCATTGTTGGCATCTGCTGCTTACCAGGCTTCATCATCATTGTGTTTCTGTTTAGTTGGGGTTTCACAGTCAGCTGCAAAAGCAAAACTAGCTTCCACCACAGCAATTATTTGGGTCTGTTCCAAAGACTTGGACTACAAACACACAGAAAATTTTGAGATTGCCCAACTTGCTTCTTCTGTGGTTGCTCTGAACAGGAGGTGATAGAGATAAACTCACGTGCATCCCTCTTTGAGAGCAGTATCGTGTTATCCAAGGTAATACGTCAGTACAGGGCCTTCCTGATAGTATTTTCCAAGCTGTTTATCTTCAAGGTGCTGGGTACTGTATGCTCCTTTGCTATCCAGAGATCTGGTATCCAAGTGCACATCTACATCCGCTTGTCTACTTGCTGCTTCTGCTTCCATCTTCTACTTCATTTTCTCTTGGATAGCCAATTACAAATAAGCAGTATTTTATTTACATTAAAATGAAATACCATTATTTGGCAACTTGCATACAGTACAATATTAGAAGTTCAATACAAATCCAGAATTCAAGCTTCCCAAGCTACAGAAGTAAGTTTATGTGAATGCTCAATATTTATGTGTTTTGATGTAAATATCAAGCACTGCAATATACTACAATATGGCAATTTATTACTGTGCTTTCAAAGAACCACAGTATAATTCAGATTGATCCAAAAGACGAGTTATGATTCAGAACTTTTATGGGAAGTACAATCCCTGCTTTTGCATTATTAAAAATATTAATATATAAATTAAAATAATTGTATGCATATGAGTGTATGAATACATGTGGGCATATGTATATTTATGTAAAAAGGAAAGAGACATAAAACCAGTTGAAACATAAAAAAACACATGAAAGTCACCCCACAGTTCTCACAGTTGTTAGAGAAAAATGTCTTGCAACTACTCCAGAAATACTGTGTACATAACATATAATATGCTATATATCTTTTGGTGAAACTTCTATTTCTCCCTCCCCCCCCCCCCCCCCCCCCCCCAAGATTCAGTAGTTCTATATGGTTTATCTCTGAAAATAAGCATAAAGCTGATCTTGTTTGCTTTTTCCTCCATAGATTGATATGATACTAGTATAGCATACGAAGTGATTCTTTTTGGCATCATTGACTTTGCTGCAAATAGGAAAACAGATCTAAAAGTAAGAAAATGACAATCCTGAAGTGTACATTTTAATTTCAGTAAAGAACCCACTGTTGTTTTTCCCTTTCCTTCTTCCATTTCTTTTCCCCCAGCTATTTCTCTCCTTTGATCTTTCCCATCAAATTCCCTGCATGCACATAGCAAAATTATTTTCACCAGATAAGTACGATCTGGCAATTGAGAGTTAGCATACATCACCCTAACCTTATTAATATTAATGGTGTGAGGAAAATTTAGACTATCTGTTGATTTGGTCCTTTATGTTACAAGGTGAGACTCTTAACTCCTGATTCCAATTGAGTTTTGAAAAGTAAAAAAAGAAACGACTATGTGATACTTGTTCTTCAGTGCAAAGCCTTGTAAACTTGAAGAAGATTATAGAGAAAAAAGTAAAGAAAAGGGGCGAGGAGGAAGTTAGATAAAAATAATATATTTAAAAATCCTTGTTCCTAATAAAAGCCTCTCTGACCTCGGTCCAGAAACAGATATATGGTTCTGTAAATTTTAAATTGAATATTCAATTTCTAATTCCCCTCTAAGAATAAGCAACCTCCTTTACTAAAATCACAGTCTAAAATAACTTCAAAATAATTTTCTTTGTCTCTTGCCTTGGTTTATTTAATGTAATGTGTATTTACTTCATAATCAGTTGCACTGTTGTATTGGAATGAATTCTCTGAGGTGCTGAGCATATGCTACTCTCAATGAAGTAAATAACATTTTCATATACTTAGCTCTTACTGACAGATAGCCTTTTTGTGGCAGCTACTTTTGTTGAATAGAGTTGATTTTAACCATGACGTTTGTTATTTGAATAGAAGTCCACACTTCTAACTCTAGGGCTGCTTCATGTTTTTGGTATTCCTGTCTGACTCTTGTTAGCTAGACCATTACAATAAAGCAGATCTATATATTCGTATATATATATTCATATATATATCCACTTGTTCTGTTTACTGCTGCTCTGAAGCTGATCAGCTCATTTATCTACTATCCATTTAGGCTATGAGCTTGCATTTTTTAAAACTCTTCTTTATGGTAGTAGCTTTGCTACAGTCTTTCCTGCAAGATTAGATTGAACAGAATCTGAGAAAATCCCTTATCCCTGTCATGTTTGGGTTTGATTTAGAAATCTACAGGTATAATCAGTTTTATTATCAGAAAATTTGCTGAAAGAGTCTTAAACTTCTGAGCCAGATAAATACGCAGTGTCATACAGAGTAACAGCCATGTACCTCTGAACACTGTCCAAAAATAGTGAATCAGTAGCCAAAGCACACTCCAAACATACTTTAGCTGCATCCAGTTTCCAATTACTTTCAAAGGCTCATTTAACTTAGCATAATAGGCTGAGCTATGATGTAAGAGAAGGAGCCTCACAACATGTTGAAGATAAAAGACAGTTTACTTAAGACTGCAGCTTTATCCAATAGTTCTTGCTTTGTGAATTTAAGTGAAGACTTTGGAGGGAAAAAAAAGGCAAAATTGTTAGACCACCCCATTAACTTTGGGTAGGACATTATGAAGATTCCTGTAACACTTGGGCTGGGAGGTTAGATACATAAAATTATAACAGATGTGGGATATACTGCAAA